TGGTTAGCTTGACCAACTCTTGGCATCCTAGCTCTGTTTTGTTTACAAAGCACAAAAGGAGAATACAAGTGTATCTCTACAGAGTTACAGACACGAATGACAGGACAAGTCAGTGAAAGATTTGCACGCAAACTGCTATTAGTGGTTACCCTTGGGAGTTAGGAAGAAATGGGTAAGGGTTTCACTTATATATTTTTGAAAAATACTAAGATCTTGGACTGATTTTAAATTAGGGGTGGGGGGTAAATATCAGTGTAAAATATATTTTTTAAAGAAGCTTAATTTATTTTAAAAAATGTACTCATGAATTTGGAAAGGATGTATTTATGTAAACTATAAGATGATACAAAGAGTATGTATTTATAAACACAAATAGCTTATTTGAAAGCAAGATTTCCAAAGTTTAAGAATAAAAATTTATTGCATGTGTATATTCAACCAGTACAGAAAAACAGCACATCTTTCTCTAGTAACTCTGACTGTGAGACAGTAAATCACCCAGCAAGTGGTTATCAGCTGTAGGCATAATGAAATTAAAACTTTGGTGCATCTTCGAAAGGATCAAGGGAATAAAAGGTATTTTTCTAGTCTCTGGTCCCATGGGAATGAGGGGAAGGTGGTGAAGGGATGAAATAGGACTGTTGCTTTCCCATTTGGCAGGAGGAGGAAGATGAAGTGAGTTTTGGCCACAGGGCACAAGCACAAGGAGCTCAGGCTGGGTTTCCACATGGGAAGACAGGATGTCCAAAAAAAAAAAAAAAAAAAAAATGGACAAAATGAGAAGAAACATGGAGAAATTGTCTTTGTTGTTTAATGCTAATTAAATTTGATCTGAAGTTAGATTATAAAATTAGAAAAGTGCCTAGCTCCCATACTGTGAATACTTTGTCCTCAAAGGCTTTTCCTCATCATCCTGAAGATGTGCTTTTCAAGTTTCTCAGTCTGAAGGATTATTGTCCTCTGTTCCTATGTTTGCTCAGACATGTCTGCCATAGTAGGTTTTATTATGTTTGTAAACATGGAAATACAATGTACGCGCTATCTGACTGACTCCATCCTACTTCCTTACTGAGAAGTCATTCAGATCCTTTGTCCTGCCTATCAGGCCATTTTCACTGCTTTTTGCAGTGACTAGAGCTAAACAGATTTAGTTGAACAGAAGCTACTGAATGGAGGCCGGCACATCCTTTGCTCACTCCTACTCACCTTTCTGCTTTCCACACCTTTTCCACAGAATCTCCTTTCTCCACAGCCCCCTACCCAGCTGTCTGGCCACCCACTTCCCTGGGTTATATCCAGTTTGAGTTGGTGGAAACTGTGGGTAATCTGATCACTGCATGACTGGCTTAGACCTCCCTGGGTACGCAGCATGAACAAAGCCATCCATCTGTGCTTATGCTTCACCGAGGACTTGCTTTTCCTGGCACGTTCCTCCAAATGATGCCAAATACAGCTGATTCCGGAACACCACAAACAAGATTCTCACCTTCAGAAAGAGCAAGTTACCCAGCGAAGCCTTCTCTCACTTCTTACATTGTTTTTGGAATTGAAAGCAACCCAACTGTCTCTGAGGATCAAAATGAAAACAAACATAAAAATAAACCACTCTTACATCACAAAGAGTGAAGGAAATTGGCCATTTTTTAATATTAGAAAAATTTTTAAAAAGGGTCTGCTAATTTACATTTTCATTTTGACATTTACTTTCTCAGTAGGAGTACAAATAAGCCCTATTTTAATCCCACTTAGGGGGACCTTTACCTGAAAATGGTGTAGGATTATCTATAGATGATGCTTGTCAGCAATCAGTGAAGAGTGAGGAGCCAGGATCACTGATTCTCCCTCCCTGGCCACCCCAGCTAAATGACACATATGATAAAATCGTCCTACATGAGAACCTTGAGCTCCCACAGTCGTGGCTACTGCCCCACTCTGGGTCATTTCCACAGAGCTGATCTTGTTTCCTTACAGATGTGACCATGTCAGCCCCTGTGAGAAATAAGCCTTGCACTGGCTCCAGATAGCCCTCAGAACCAAGTCAGAATTCTTAGAGGTGATCTGTGGCCAAACCTGTCTGTGATCTGACCCCCACACCCCTCCCTATCTCATGCTGGTCTCTTTCCGTGGTATTCCTGCTCCCAAGTTATGCTAACCCATATTCAGTGAAGACACATTAAAATTCTCCAACAGTCCAGCCTTCCTCTTCCCCAAATTGCTGAAAACAATCTAACCACAAGTGATGATTCTTCTCATGTATGATGGAATTTTCCACTAATGTGTCTACTGACTCTAGCCACATCCACATGCCCTCCTGTCATGCCCTGTCACACTTCACTCCTGGAATAGCAGTCTTCTAAACTTGCAAGTATTCTATTTCCATTTTTTACCCTATCATTGAATAAATTATAACATCCAAGCTGCCTGCTGAGTTGTGACCTAAATTCTGTAGGAGAAGATAATGGTGTTACAGACTATGAAGATACCGAAAGTCTCCAAAGAGTTCCTAGTGTTTTGGCATAGGCAAAATTAAAAGCCCCAATTTTGTGTCCTGTTTTCAGTTCAAAGGTCCTTCTGGTTTGGGACTAATAGAAGGAGAATTAATCCTTTGTTTTGAAAGTGAGTAGCTTGGAAGAACAATGAGGTTGGGCGCCGTGGGCCCCACACAGAGACAGACAGCAGCCAAACTCCAGTTTGCTGGTCATCCACTCCCTTGGGAAGACATCCAGTTAGGGTTGGTACGAATTGTGTAATCTGGAAATTCCACGACAGGTTCAGACCTCACCGATTTTAAAGCATGAGCATAAAGTGTTGCCTGTAGCCTGACGACAGTTAGCTGCTTTCGCACTTGCCAGTGGGACACTTTTGGCTCGTACCTTTTCGTTTCCTCCTTGTCACTTGCCTAAACAGCTAAGGGACTTGCTTTTTGTGAAGCACTATTCTTTCTCATTGAGACTTAAATTTAATTTTAGTAAATTAATTAATTTTATTTTTCTCTAAATGAGAGTTCATATCACATTCCCCATTGCTTCATCTGTCATTTTATATTACTACACCTGTCATTCGTGTGACCAACTTGTTGACCTCATTATTCATTGCTATTCATTTTTCCTTTTATATATTGTAATATAAATAATTGCTTCTCCTGGTTTTCTTAATCAAGGGCATTGTTATACTAATTCATTGAAAGGCACTTAAGTATGATCATTTCACCATACTCTTCCAGCTTACTCTACGAATGGACAAGAAACAAGGCACCAGAAGTTGAGTTTCTTTTCCTTTTAAAAGAAAGTCTAGGTTGTCTCACGACTTCTTCTTTTATGCCCTCCATGTCCTAGGCATGATGTGATGAAGCAGACAACTGATTGAGACGCAGACAACACAAAGTGGGGATCTGAGGGCACCAGTGTAACCCAGGTCGCTGTCATCAGCTTTGACAGCCAGCCTGAACTGCATTCTCTTTCTTTGGAAAATATAATTGCTGAGAGCAATAAATTTCATGACAACTTCTATAGTGGTTTATTCCTCTTCCCCTCAGGTCTCCTTTCCCCCTGCCTTTCAGGTAGAGTTAATGAGAAGCAGGTCACAAAGCCACAGACACCTTTGACCAAAAAATGAAAATATCTGGAAGCAAGTAATTAACCCATGATTCTTTTAAAAATGTAAATATGTGGGTCATATATGTATGTAAAAAATATATGTGAATGACAAAACATGCAGATGATTTTATAGACAACTATTGTGCTAATCTGGTATTGCTCCATATTCTTCTGTTTTGATTACCAAGTTTAGAATTGAGTAGAGTTCTGGTCATAATCATGAAAAACTTGAATACAAGAAGATGCTACTTTCCCTGTACTTTTTCATTTAGTTCCACTGACAGGAGATTAGTCGGTAAACCCTAAGGCAGGGCATTTTCTGTGTTGTTTTTATGCACAGGCTAACCTGATAGAGATCCATTTTGAGCTAATCCTATAATAAAAGCATTTTATGTTCATTTATAAAGACTATTTTGATTTGTTTACTTTTCAAACTTTTCTAACGTCCTGAAGACATGAATGTCAGGATATTGGAAAGATCTAAGAGTTAATTTTTACTCTGGGCCTTAGAGGAACTTTGATGAACTACAAAAATGAATAATTAGTAACGCTTCCATTGAATTGTAGAATCTCAGAATTTTAAGAGACCTTAAAAATATCTAATTCAGCCATGCACTTAAAGGTTCAACTTAGTTCAGGACATCCCTAACAAACTAGAAGTATCCTATTGATAGCTCTAGCTATTAAAAAGTTCTTCCCTTACTTAAACCTTTTCTCTATGTAAGTTAGTTCCTCAAATAGTTTGTTATAGTAACAGAAACCTGATTCATACAGACATCTACTCTCAGCTATAGCTTCTAGTAACTGGATAAGTGATTGATGAGTGGAGTTAAAAGTAGAGGTTTCTATTTACTAGGGGATATTATCGTACAGAATGGCAAATGATCTGTGCACTTAAGGTCCATTGAGAAAGCATCACATAAGTAACTTATTTATGGTTTAAATATTACAGCTGATTTTTTTTTGTTCTTTCAGTCTTAAAATCCAGATAATTTTACCTATTTGACTTATGTATTGCCATGTGCCCCCAGTAAAAAGTGACACTGCAGATATTAACTATCAGACATCACACATGCAGAGTTTACTGTCTGGAACACGAGGCGGAGAAGTTGAAAGCAAGTCCTGGGCTTTGTCACCTCCACCACCATCTGAGTGGACGGGTCACTGAACCGCTCTGGTTCTTGGTTCACTTTCTGCAAATGGCAAAGGATAAAACAGATTCTCTTTTAAAGTTCTTTTCAACTTCACAAATTGTGCTTTTGGCTTGTCTGTCCAGAGTGGTAGAGTATCATAGGCAAAAAATACAGAAGCCCTGATGTCCAGCTCCTCCTCTCTCTCTTTTTCCAGTAAGTGTCTTCTTGTGTACACTGTATAAAGCCAGGGATGCTCCCCCTCTCTTTTCAGAACACTGTTCTGCAAGAAACGGTACGCAGAGAGTGTGAAGAACGCTTTGAACTGACAGAGGCATTGGGTCAAGCCAGAGAGCAGCTCCTGAAGTTCAGCAAGCTCCATGGAACCTTGCAGTTGTCACCACACTCCCACGGCCAGGGCAGCCTAACCTCCTCTGCAGCAGCTGTTGAGAATCAAAGAGAAAGAAGCCCTATGACACAGACCACTGCGGTAGGACTCAGAATCCCCAGCCGACACAGACCAGCCAAGCCCATGGACTCCTCGGCCTCAGCTAAGCCCAAGACGGCCAGCAACGCGGGCCTGCCTATGCTCCACAAACCCAACGCGGGCCTGCCTATGCTCCACAAACCCAACGCGGGCGTGCCTATGCTCCACAAACCGCGCCCTCCTCCCAAGGGCCCAGCACCGTCAGTCAGTCAGACCAGACAGAGGCTGGCGGCCATGGTGCGGAGGAGGATGAGTCAGAAATGAACGCTGCACAGTCAGGAGCGCACAGCAACCCGCTTTCGCAGAGTCAGAGACTCGATGCCCCTGAGGGGGACAAGGGCCACTTACGCCTATCGATATATTTAACAGAAGACTGTAAAAAGAAAAACTACGACGCCATATCTCCCCGGAAATCTTTGAAATTGCAGTGGATAATGAAGTCGTAGGTATTCCAGAGGGTCCATTTGTACCTTTCTGTATTATATGCATTTAGATGTGTCCTATGTATATGCCCTTTTAGACATCACAGGTTAAAAGAATTTCCCTCATAGCATTTTTCTTTTTTCATTTTTGTATCATTACAATCATAAATATTTGTACAAAAATATGTTGGTTCTATTGGTGTTTGTCCATTTGTTTGTTGAGCTAATTGGATTAAATAGATGTAATACATATTGCAATAGGAAAAAAAAGAAAGAAAGAAGAAAACATCTTAGTCCTTAAATAATTTCCGAAGTGCTCTGTTCAGATAGTCACAGGGCTCAGCAGCAGCAGCCAAAGCTTCTTTCCTTCACCTTGAAGCCTAATTGGTGAATCTACTTTCTCGTTAGACCAGTGGGCAGTAATGACAGAAATATTCAGGATAGTCTTCTCTGAGAGTGTGTCCCTTCTACAAAAAGGGATGGTATTTCCAATTCAAGGAAAAAATGGTCTACTTCTCAAAATATGAAGATTATTTGGAAAATAGAGTCTGACTCTGGACATATTGCTTAGTAGAAGATTTTTACCAAAACCTAGGGGATTTTTGTTCCTTTGGGTTCAATTTCTCTCCATCTAATAGGAGCATTTTTCTGTTAAAACGTGACTTGACTTAGGTCCCCATCTTACTGCACCATGCAGATCCATTCCCACTAGGGGACAGTGCGGTAGCTACAGGTGTGCCATATGACAATAACACCCTCGCCTGTCTGTCGACCCCGTAATGAGAGACTCCAAAGCTACTTGAGGTCCTCCCATGTGAAAAAAGTAAAATTATTAAGCAAAACTCAAAGTTATTTTTAATCTTTCAAAGGATTAGGCTAATCTACCAGTGAAATATTTTCAGTTCAAAAAAATTCCCCTGATTTTCCTGACAAGCTAAAGAGAAACATCTTGTTTGAGGTTAGACTGCTTACTTTGTCTTACAGAGATCATTGTTTCTTGCAATGGCCTCTAGCAAGAGATCCCACATTACAGAATAGTGGTTCTGGGGCAGATCTTAGATGGTCACCTGAGCCATCACTTTGCAGATGAGGAAGAACAACCACCTGCACTATATCCCAGTTTTCCCACCTCAATGAGAGGTCCCCAACCCTCCAACATAATTTTTGCCAATAGCACCTACACTGAATTTTTTTTTTTTTTTTTGAAGGAAGGAAAGGTTTATTTAGCTCACAGTTACTGGAGGTTTCAGTCCATATTCAGCTGGGTCCAA